ATACATATCTATGCAATGGGCGGCTCTGATGACATCATTCGCGTCTTCGCACCTGCAGAGAACAACTGCCCGAACTCGTACGCGTACGCCTACGACGAGTCGAGCGGCACTGCTCTCTGGACCTGCGCCGGCAACCTCCAGGCGGACTACACCGTCACCTTCTGCCCGTGAGCACGCGTCCGACGCGAAGCGGGGTTTTCGGAAAATCATCGCCTCGTCGGCGTCGTCCCTACTCCGAGTGGGTCTCTCTGCGGATGAAGGATCATATCCCGACGAAACCCAACGATGATGGCCCCAATCCCTGTGATGTGTAAATCCCTTTTTGATTCTCCAGTCTGGTTTGTGTTGGCGTTCGCAATATCCACGGTAAGGTGAACATGTCGGGATGTCGATTTGGATGTAGCTACGGATGTACGATGGCTCGTTTTGTGAATGGATGATGACTTGATTATTCAACGTGACTTTTACCTGCCATTGCGCGGGGGTTGGACCTTCTAACTCAAGTGACTTTTACCTGCCATTGCGCGGGGGTTGGAAGCTTGATCGGGAGGGTGTAATGTAATGTACTGAATATGTGTTTGTCAAGCTGTCCACCTTCACATGCCCCGTGGCTGAGTTGGTTACAGCGTCCGACTGTTACTTGACATCGGAAGGTCGTGAGTTCGAGCCTCACCGGGGCAGCATACTTTTTGCCATCCAGCATCTCTATGATGCACCTTGAAGGTACTAGTACTGTACATACAGCATACTATCAATGCCGCACAAATACCTTCGATCTACTTGTGTGGCCACGCGAACTATTAGGAGACTCTTCAATGACACAATGATACAGCAACCGAAACTGACACCATACAATTTCACCAAAATTCTAGTCCAAGAGTCAAGGTAGAGCAGAGATGCGAGGATCTGTAGAAGAGGGGTATAACGGAATTCACTATGGGTATGTAAACAGTAGGACTGCGAGTCCGGAAAGGGGTCATTGATACTTGTCCTTGTATATCCAGGCCAGCCCAATGTCACTCGCGCCCTGTGCAACCTGAGAAACCGATGCATTTCGTCAGTCCCCATACCACGAACACATCGTTCAGAAGAGAGGAGAGACACGTACGGCTGCGCGGTACCACTTCGCTGCTTCGCGTTTGTCTTTCTTGCACCCTTTGCCGTTGAGCAGGCAGAATGCCAGTTCTTGCTGCGCATCGGGGTCTCCTAGACGTGCGGCTACACGGAAGTATTGCTGTAGGCGATGCAGGCATCATGGGTCAGCTGCAGCCACAATTACAAGTGCGCAAATGCCACTGACCACACCCATATCCTTGTCCTTCTCGACGCCCCATCCGCGGAAGAAGCTTTGGCCCACCTCGTAGATGGCCAAGACAAGTTCAGACTATCGTCGAGTGAAAGAAGTCAGGACCGAGCATGAAGCATCGCAACGCGAACGAGCCCACCTTCACCGCGCCCATGTCCGGGCTCTGCTTTCCCTTCTCCAGGTCTACGACAGCAAGTTCTGCCGCGCGCCTCAGCCACCTGAACCCCGAGACCTCGCTCTTCGCACATCCCCACCCGTGCCGCTGTGCCAAACCCCACATGAGCATGCCCACGCCACACCCGCCATTCAACGTCGCTGCCTTCTCGAACGCCCGCGCCGACTCGGGCAAGCGGTTCTCGAGATGGTGTTGAATGCCGACTTGTAGGAAGTCCTGCGGTGTCTGGGGATTGGCGAGATTGGGTGCTTCGGTTTTTGCAGCCTGCCCTGCTGAAGACTTTGCCCTAGGACGTGAGCCACTAGGGCCACCGGACGAAAGACCGTTTGCCTGGGATGGCGCTCCTGGCGTGGGCGGTTGCGAGCCCGATGTGGGAGTAGGCGGCAGTTCGTAGTACGAGTAGTCGGAGTACACGCTCATCTGTGACGATTGGATACGAGGAGACAGGCCACCTGTTGTCGGTGTCTGAACTAGTGGCGGAGAGAGTTGTGGAGACGAAGGGTATTGGGGTCGGTCCGAGAGCGATGCTGGAGAAACAGGTCGCGAACCTGGACCGGCTGGTGAAGCCAAAGCACTTGGGCCCAAGCGTGGACTCGCCGCGGGCGAATGCATTGGCGAGCCCATGGGCGAGTGCAGGTGTTGACGCGCATTCCTCATGAGTACATCGCGCTTTCTGTCTTCTTCCTCCGCAGGCAGCCCTGGTCTCGAGAAGTTCACGCCTCCAGTAGCAACGCGCGACGGTACCCGGCCGCCCTTGGACGGGCCCGGGACCGCATACGCATGGTCCTGCGGCTCAGGCTCGGTGGAAACGACGATGGGAGGCACGCCCGGCGCGAGGTCGTGCAGCTGGGGATCGTACACCGAGGGCGGATCGACGCCAGACGCGCGCCAGGTATCGCGGTACCTGGCAGTGATGCTGTCGATGTCATAGCCAGACGAACGCACCGACTCGTGCTCGGGATAGTAGCCCTGCGCATCCTGCGCCGGCTGAGCGGGCCCGCGGAACGTGTGCGTGCTCGAGGGCGAGGACGGGACCGTGCCCGTGCCTGAGCGTCCGTCCCAAGAGAACGTGCGCATGCTCGAATCATCGTAATACGAGGACGCGGTTGCAGTTGAGGAGCGAAATTGCGTGTGTAAGATGGGAGAGTGTGGTGGAACTGGCGCTGTGTTCGGAGAGGGCCTTGGAGGCGTTGGGAGCTCGAGGTTGGCTGGTCTGTGGTTGGACGCCCGCCTTGACGACGTTCTCCGGATGAGCGTCCCGAGCGGGGACGAGTCGTGCACGTTCGGCGAGAGTTTCGGTCCCACGGAGAGCTCAGACATCGAGTAATACGTTAGCGGTGGAGGTGCGCAGACTTGGGGAGTAGATTACACGGAATGAAGAGGATGGTGGTTATAGCTGAACGCGGCATCGTGGTCGTCGCCAAGCGAAAGCGGCACTGCAATTCTCAATCCGATGCGCGGCCACACCGCAGCACTCAGTTCATCCAGTCATCCTACATCCGCCGCGTACTCCTCGGCATCAGCACACTCGCACAGCACACATATCAGCATCTATTCGACCCGACGGAAAGCAGAGAGCATCGCATTATGAGAGTGACTACAACTAATAGGACCAGTGCTGTACTCGACGCGTCTAGAGGTACTTTTTCGTCCGCTTGATATCCGCGTATGGGTCCGGCTTCGGCAGCTTGCCAAACCGCGGTTCCTCCTTCTCTGTTTCACGAGAAAATGACACATCAACAAGAGCCTTGGCCTCAAGTTAGAAGGTGACTCACTGAGCGTGTACTGGTAGATATGCGAGACGGTCTCGTCCCAGACCTCACGCCACATGTGCGCTCCGCCACCACGCGCCCCGTCAAACCCGTATTGCTCGGCGAACGCCCGGAAGTTGAACCCAAGTCTGTCAGACTCCTCATATGCGGGGATGTCGATAGGCTCAGTGGCCGATGCCTGGGGAAGCACGAGAAGTACATAGCGGTGGTAGGGCGTGCCGCGTTGCGGGTGTGGGGGAACGTAAGGTGTGTGAGTGTCGAGGGGAACGGTGGGGGCCGGCGTCGATGCCGAAAGAGGGATGTTTGGCTGCATCCAGTGAAGGTAGGTCGTGTAAGAGCGGCTCTCCGGATCCGGGACGTCAAGGTCGACCATCAACAGAGTGTACAGACGGGTGTCCGTATGGAACAGTGTGGTCGAGATCTCCGGGGGTCTACGGGTCTGAACACCAGGGAGTTGCGTTAGCAGGGCATGCAACAGCTACATCCGGACAGCCAACATACCTGTTCAGGGACGAGGAAAATGCCAGGCTCGACCTCCTTGAGCTTCCGCTTAACACGGGTGCGAAGGTAGTTGCTTGCCGGGGGAGGCTCGGCGTACTTGATATGCAGGTCAAAGGAAGGGTGCAGTTCGGGCAACATGTCGGGAACCACGCTCATCTGGTAGATACGCTCCATCTATAAAATGGTATGAATACCATGCACGCGTTATTACTAGTATGACGGTGGGACTTACCAGCAAGTCCAGGTCACCCTCTTCCCTCCACCGTTGCTCGACAAGATGCCTATGAATGGGCTTGCTCATGTCCGCTACGCACTGTTCAGGGATACAACACAGCAACCATTTTAAATGGAACACGTACCCATGCCGTTCCTCGCCTTCCACCTCACGTCCGGAAGGTTCACCTCGCTTTGAATCTCCAGAATGCCCGCCCGTTCCCGCATCTCCTTCAACGCAGCCTCGTCCCTCTCGCCCTCCGGTTTCTTCGCCTCGGCCTCGACCGCCGCCCTCAGCTCTTCCAGCTCCTTCCGGATGAACTTCGCATCCTTCAGGATGTAGCGCAACGCGTAGTCATACGCCGGCTCAACGCCCTTCGCGATCGGACGCGACCACTCCCGCTGGGTCTTCGACGACGCTGAGCGTCCGCCACCGTTCTGCTGCTTGGCAGCGGCATTGCCAGAACCATCCTGGTCCTGCTTGCCCTCAGGTGCACCGGACTTCGCTGTCACCGACGATGCTGGCGGGGCTGGCGAGACGTCCGCCTGGGGGTTCGCGGCGGTCTCGAGAGTCGCATTCCCGCGTATGCTCGCTAGCCGTGGAGTAAAGCGAGGAAGACGGCGCAGAGCAAGCATGGCCGGTATGGGGTACTGGTTAGGTCGGACGCACGAGCCGGGAAAGCTCAGAAATTGTGGTCGGGCGTCTAAACAAGAGTGTGCGACCGAATTTAGAAACCGTAGTAGTGCGTACTGGAATCTCACAACTTTTACTACCGCTGGCCACTTACTGTGGATATATGGTGCTGTCTCGAACACTGTCAAGGGCGCCACTTCTTGTACTGGATTAAGGGCCAAAGTGTCTACGTTCTCTGTGAAAGTGACGTGATAACTCAGAGCCATAGCCCACGGCGACGATCTCCATGATTCAGCCTAGCCCACAAAGGTCTCTTGTTTGACTAAAAGAGTAGTTATACCAACCACCTGTGTCTGTGCAAGAAAAAGAATTGCAAGGTAACAAACTGACCCCTGTCAGCTGCCCCGGTGAGGCTCGAACTCACGACCTTCCGATGCCACTTAGCTGCACAACCGGAAGTAAGGGTTGGGATTGCAGAGATAACAGTCGGACGCTGTAACCAACTCAGCCACGGGGCATTGAAATGATCATGTCTTTGCAGTCATCTTGTGCACTGACGCGAGAAAAAGCGAGCGAGTACTTGTCGATGCCTATCCACCTAGTGCAATCGTAGAGCATGATCGGTGACGTAGAAGGAAGAAGAAAGAGAGATGTGGTGCAAGTCTCAATGTTCGTAAATGTTGTTTGTATGGCAAAAAGAGCTGTGCGGGACTTGCTGCCCCAGTGAGGCTCGAACTCACGACCTTCCGATTTCGCATTAGTCTTTGCAGGACTATAACAGTCGGACGCTGTAACCAACTCAGCCATGGGGCACATAAAAGCGCCCGTTCTTGACCCTTTATATTGCGGGCCCTCTGATGAGCTGATCAAGCACGCCTATCATACAGCACTTTAACAAGTAGATATCAACTAATTTCTGACCTGGCTTTCATCCAATACCCACCTAGAAGCGTGGGTTTACATGTGAGATTTACAGTGCCTTACAAAACTGTTTCCAGAAATCACGTGTTTTCACCATTTCTGGAATATCTCCGCAACGACTTGATAAAATATTACGATTCAAAATGTGTTCTGTAGCTATGCTTCACTGCTATCTAATGCCATATGTTTCATAATATTTGAACCAGAACTCCTTTCTCAGTGAGGCATTCTTTGACCCCTACTCCTGGAAACAGTTTTGTAACGGGTAGTTTGGCATGCTGGAATACATGATCTAGTACTTAGTATAACCTCCCTTCGCCTTCAACACAGCTGCAATCCTGTTTGGCATACTCTCCACT